TCTAGATTTCTATCTCAATTCTGGAAGGAATTACAAGCTGCTCTGGGGACGAAACTAAAGCTGAGTACAGCCTTTCACCCAACCACTGATGGACAAACCGAGCGAACAATCCAAACACTCGAAGACATGCTGAGAGCATGTATACTAGACCTACAAGGGTCATGGGACGAACACTTAGACTTAATAGAGTTTTCGTACAACAATAGCTACCACGCCAGTATCAAGATGGCCCCGTACGAAGCTTTATATGGTCAAAAGTGTAGAAGTCCACTATGTTGGAGCGACTTGACAGACAAGGTGGTGCTAGGGCCAGAGTACCTACATGACACCATGGAGAAGGTGAAACTGATTCAAGTCAGGATGAAAGCTGCACAAGATCGTCAGAAGTCTTATGCTGACTTGGGGAGGAAGCCAGCTGAATTCAAAGTGGGAGAAAAAGTCCTACTCAAAGTCTCACCGATGAAGGGAGTAATGAGATTCGGAAAGAAGGGAAAGTTAAGCCCAAGGTTCATCGGCCCATATGATATCCTCGAACGAGTGGGGCGGTTGGCATACCGTTTAGCTTTACCCATGGAGTTGGCTAAGGTAAGACACACCTTAAACCTCTCGATGGTAAGTATAATAGTAAGTGCCTCTCAAATACTAACGTGTGGTATACTTAGGTACACAACGTTTTCCATATTTCACAATTGAAGAAGTATGTCCATGACGAATCACATATCCTTAACCCTGAGATACAACTCGTGACCTTACAATTTTCAAAATCAAATTCAACATGTCTAACCCTTACTCAATTAGGTGGTCGAGTTGGATGAGACATTGACTTATGAGGAAAGGCCTGTCCAGATCCTTGACACCAAAACTCGTGAGACTAGGAGAAAGTCAATTAAAATGGTAAAGGTATTGTGGTCTAACCACTTGGCCGAAAACGCCACTTGGGAGTCCGAAGACGATATGCGCAACCGCTATCCAGAGTTATTTGACTAAGGTAAAACATTTTGGTTACGGGGACGTAACCTTGTTTTTAGAGGGGTAGAATGTAATACCTCTGAAAGTATAATAGATGATATTTTATTTATTAGCTTATGTTTCGGGACGAAGTATCTTTTAAGGAGGGTAGAATGTGACACTCTAAAAAAAAAACTAAATAATTTTATAGGTCTGATAAAATGAAGCAGATAAAATTATAACATTGGTGACATTTTTAGCCAGGTAAAAATGTTTATAACAAGTCATAATTATACATACAAAATAGGACATAAATAAATAAAAGTGCCCTTTTAACAAACTTTGATAATATATGCAACCATTATATTATTGTGACCTTTTGGGACCAAGTAACATAATAAATATTTTATGGGAAGCCTTATAATTCTAGCTAGAATGATTAAGTCCGATTGACTATTCTATAAAGAACATACCCATATGCAAATTGACATGCCCACATGAAGTTGGCCGAACAAACCCATATGCAATGACCATAATAATAGACCTCCAATAACATACATATCAATAATATACAAGTACATAATGATAATATATCCAAGAATGACATACATCATACTACATACATGGGTACCATAGCTCCGTGCGAGACTAACGACCGGCATACCCACATGCAACGAAGCAATCTTCAGCAACTTGCAAGCTAGAGCTTCGGATCGGGCATATAAATACACGAGCTGCCTACTAAACATCTCCACACCTCAAGCAACGCCTATGCTTAGTCATACTCTCGTATAGTCATATATATATACATATATACTCATCATACTACGCTGCGACAAATTTATTTACCCAAAAACAAGAGCTTACACGCTTCTAAAAACCTTCCCCATCGTGAGGGGAATCCAACGGAGAAAGAATCGTTGAAAACGGTCGTGAAACGAGGGAGAAAAGCTTCACCGCAGTTCCGCGGGAGCTATTGCCGAACTGGGTCTTCGCATCAGTGAAAGAGAGTTGCCGCCGCCACTGATTGACCGTCTCCATCTTCGAACGACTCCCCTACCGTTGCCCTTCCAACCGTCCGTCGTCTCCAAGGTAGGCCATCCCGTTGACCGTTTTTCAATTGTTTCCGGCGTTTCCTGTGTTCGAACAACGAAGAAGACGGTCTGTTGCATGCTATATTATTATCAAACTCAGGCTAAGTGAATTATTACACTATTGGACTAGTTGTTAAACATTAATATAATACGGAGGGGATGAGAGTAATCCTAGAAATACACCATAACCAGAATAATGAATAATACTCCATAATAAATAATACTAATCATAGGCAAAGCTAATACTACGTAATATTTTGAGATAGCAATATTGAAAGATGGAATTAAATTGATTAGTTGATAATAATTATTTGGATAAACTTGTCATTTTTAGTCGGGGAAACTACATAATAATGGATCAATTAACTTGTTAAAAATAATACACGAATTAAACAATATTTTAAGATATATGACTATTTTAGAACTGTTGAATTAATAATTTCTGGCTGTTTATAAAATTAATTACTAAGTAACGTTATTCGAAGATATTTATAAGTATTCTGAATGTTTAACATTTATGATTCGGATATTTTACAAGAGAAGATTAATTTAATGGCTGTTTTAGTATTAAGATATAATGAAAATAATTCGGGCATTTTAATATTTTGAGTATAAATTAATTCGGATATTGGATTGGGTTAAACTAAAGTACCAAGTTAATTAAAAAAAATGAATAGATAAGATGAGAACTTAGATTACGAAATAAAGTAAGCTTAATAAAAGCGATTAACTAATAATTAATAGATAACCTAAATTCGAATAATAAAAGAGAAAAATCGGGTAAATTATTACAAATAGAATAAGGGACTGATTATGTCATCTTAATTAAAAAGGTGATTATTTAGAGACCCGAGTAGAGGAGGAGAATTAGGAGCGTCAGGACCTACTGTAAGTTTCTCTGCCGATCCAAAATGTTTTCCTCGTATTATATGCTTATTATGCATTATGTGATTAAGTGTGATTTTTGAATTATGTGTATGTGACTTTGAGGAGATATTAGATCTATGGTATTGGAGAAGTGCAAACTAAGTACTTTTGGGTATTAAATATTTTTAAATACCTTTGAGGCTATTTAGAGAGATTGAGAATATTTTTTGGAAGTATATTTAAAGTCAAGATAAAATTTATGTTTTCATAAGAAGTGAGCACCCGGGAGAAATCCGTGGTGTCGGTTTTCCACATCCGGATAAATGTGGAGGGTGATTAAGGCTGCTACTACTAAGAAGTACAGTTTGAGTTTGAAGTGACATTTGGATCTATGATCCCTTTTAAGAAGAAGTTATAGTAGTAGTAGTCCCTAATCATTCAAGAATTTTAAAGGTGGGGTAGTTGGTAGACTGAGTCCCGTGGAGGCGGTAATCAAGGTGGGAACAGGCAAGGAGCTGAAAACCGGGGCAACAACAACCCGGGAAATCAAGCACAAAACAGCAATCGGGGCCAGAATCAGAACCAAGGAGGGGGAAACAACAAAAACAACAACAACGCTCCCAATCAGGGCCGGATTTATGTAATGAATCAGGTTCAGGCCCGCGCACACGATGTGGTTTCAGGTATCATTCATGTTAATACCACTCCTGCTTACGTTCTATTTGATTCTGGTGCTTCTCACAGTTTTATCTCTTCTAAATTCGTTGAGAAGTTAAACATAGAACCTGCAGCTAGCATAGAGTTGAATGTGAAAACAGCAAACAATAGTGTTGTAGCCTGTAGAAATGTATACATGAATGTTCCCATAGTCATAGCCGACGTCAGCCTACCTGGGGATTTGGTGTAATTCAACCTCAAAGACATTGATGTGGTGCTGGGCATGGATTGGCTTGGGAGATACAAGGCGAAGATCTTATGCAATGAGCAGAAGGTGGCCATGAAGAGCCCATGTGGGAAGCGGGTATCTTTCAAGGCAATGGTGGACAAACCCGGAGCCAAGTTGATGACATTGCGGCAGATGAGGAAGTACATCCGGAAGGGATGCGAGGCATACCTATGCATGATGAGAGACAACCATGAAGAAGAGCAGACAATTGATCAAATTCCGGTGGTCAATGACTTTCCTGATGTGTTTCCGGAAGAGATTCCGGGGATTCCTCCGGAGAGGGAAGTTGAATTCTCCATTGACTTAATGCCTGGGACTACACCAATATCCAAGGCACCATACAGGATGGCTCCGAAGGAGATGCAAGAATTGAAAGAGCAACTCGAAGAACTACTCGAGAAAGGCTACATCAGGCCGAGTGTCTCACCATGGGGCGCTCCGGTTCTGTTTGTCAAGAAGAAAGACGGTAGCTTGAGGTTATGTATTGACTACCGAGAGCTAAACAGTGTTACTATCAAGAACCGATACCCTTTACCCCGCATCGACGACCTGTTCGATCAACTGAAGGGTGCGGGCATATTTTCCAAGATTGACCTTCGATCCGGCTACCACCAAGTTAGGATAGCGGAGAAGGATATACCAAAGACTGCATTTCGTACAAGATATGGGCACTATGAGTTCACCGTGATGCCGTTTGGTTTAACCAACGCACCAGCGGTGTTCATGGACCTAATGAACCGTGTATTCCGCCCCTTTCTTGATACATTTGTGGTGGTATTCATTGACGATATCTTGGTGTACTCGAAGAACGAGAAGGATCATGAAGAACATCTTAGGGTTGTTTTACAAACCTTGAGAGAGCATCAACTTTATGCCAAGCTTTCCAAGTGTGACTTTTGGAAAGACCGAGTAGCATTTCTGGGTCACATCATCACTCGAGACGGAGTGTCTGTGGACCCATCAAAGATCGAAGCAGTAACCGAGTGGCGAGCACCTACCACTGTCACCGAAGTGCGGAGTTTTCTTGGGTTAGCAGGCTATTATCGGAGATTCGTCAAAGATTTCTCCAAGATAGCTAGACCGTTAACCAATTTGATGAAGAAGACCACAAAGTTCCAGTGGACGGATGATTGTGAGAAAGCCTTCGAGGAGCTTAAGAAAAGACTGACAACTGCACCAGTACTAACACTTCCTTCGGGAACTGATGGATTTGAAATCTATTGCGATGCATCCAAGAATGGACTGGGCTGCGTGCTGATGCAGAATGGGAAGGTAGTAGCTTATGCATCCCGACAACTAAGGGTGCATGAGGTTAACTACCCAACCCACGACCTCGAGTTAGCAGCGATAGTGTTTGCTTTGAAGATATGGAGGCACTACTTGTACGGACCACCGTGCAAGATATACACCGATCACAAAAGCCTTAAGTACATCTTCACCCAAAAAGAGCTCAATATGCGACAACGGAGGTGGCTAGAGCTAGTCAAAGACTATGATCTCGAAATTCAGTACCATGAAGGGAAAGCCAATGTTGTAGCTGATGCCTTAAGCAGGAAGGCAGAACATAGCAGCAGAGCAATGTGGATACTTCCAGAAGAGCTATATCAGGAATTCCAACGACTAGACTTGGAGGTGAAGGAGTGCGGTGAAGTGGAGAGTGAAATCCGGTTGTACACAATGACCATTTTACCCTCTATCTTCGATGAAATCAAAGTTGGTCAACCGGGAGATGTGAAGCTTGAACGAGTCAAGACCGGGATGAAGAATGGGATCAACGGACCATTTCAGCTGCATGAAGATGGGAGTATCCGCTATAAGGGTAGGTGGTGTGTTCCGATGAAATGTGAGCACATTAAAAAGCAAATCATGGAAGAAGGACACAACACGCCCTATTCGGTACACCCGGGAGGAGACAAATTGTATAAAGATCTGAAGCAAAACTTCTGGTGGCCGAGAATGAAGAATGAGGTGGCAGAGTTCGTGGCTCGATGCTTAAACTGTCAAAAAGTGAAAGCTGAGAGATGCAAGCCCAAGGGACTTGTGCAACCCTTAGAGGTACCAACGTGGAAGTGGGACTCAATCTCGATGGACTTTGTCGGGGGATTACCTTTAACAAAGTCCGGGAAGGATAAGATTTGGGTTATTGTTGATAGATTGACCAAGACCGCCAGATTCATTCCCATGAATGAAACTTGGAGTATGGATAAGCTGGCGAAAGCCTACATTAGGCATGTGGTCAAGTATCACGGTGTACCCCGAGATATTGTATCTGATAGAGATTCACGATTCTTATCCCAATTCTGGAAGGAATTACAAACGGCTATGGGGACAAAATTGAAGTTAAGTACTGCCTTCCATCCAACCACGGACGGACAAACCGAAAGAACAATCCAAACATTGGAAGACATGTTGAGGGCATGTGTTCTTGACTTGCAAGGATCATGGGATGAGCACCTAGACTTGATAGAGTTTTCGTACAATAACAGTTACCATACTAGCATCGGAATGGCCCCGTACGAAGCTCTATACGGTCAAAAGTGTAGAAGTCCCTTATGTTGGGGTGACATGGTCGATCAGGTGGTTCTAGGACCACAATACTTGCAAGATACTATTGAGAAAATCAAAGTCATCCAAGAAAGGATGAAGGCTGCCCAAGACCGACAGAAATCATATGCCGATCTCGGGAGAAAACCAGCCGAATTTGAACAGGGGGAGAAAGTTTTACTCAAAGTCTCCCCGACGAAGGGAGTAATGAGGTTCGGAAAGAAGGGAAAGCTAAGCCCAAGGTTCATTGGCCCGTATGATGTCCTCGAGCGAGTGGGACGGTTGGCATACCGTTTAGCTCTACCCATGGAATTAGCTAGGGTAAGACACACCTTAAACCTCTCGATGGTAAATATAATAGTAAATACCTCTCAAACACTAACCTGTGATATTCTTAGGTACACAATGTTTTCCATATTTCACAATTGAAGAAGTATGTTCACGACGAATCACATATCCTTAATCCTGAGGTACAGATTGTAACCTTATGATATTCAAAATCAAATTCAACACATCTAACTTCGACTCAATTAGGTGGTCGAATTGGACGAAACATTGACTTATGAAGAAAGGCCTATCCAGATCCTTGACACCAAAACTCGTGAGACTAGGAAGAAGACTATTAAGATGGTTAAGGTATTGTGGTCTAATCATTTGGCCGAAAACGCCACTTGGGAGACCGAAGATGACATGCAAAAACGATATCCAGAGTTATTTGACTAAGGTAATGTATTGGTTACGGGGACGTAACCTTATTTTTAGAGGGGTAGAATGTAATACCTCTTAAATTATATTAGGAGATATTTTATTTATTAGCTTATGCTTCGGGACGAAGCATCTTTTAAGGAGGGTAGAATGTGACACTTCGAAAAATTTAAAAAAAAAATAAATAAATTATTTTAGTAGTCATAAAATGTTACAAAAGTGACACTTTTAATAATTGCATGTATTAGATAAAATTTTGACGTGAATAACAAAAGTGACGTTTTTATAAGAGATGGTAATTATACATATAATATAAATAATAAAACGTTGACAATTTTTATTTGAAAGGTATCACATAATAATAGGCGTACAAGAATAAACTAAAATAACATTATAGGCTTCTTAAATCTAATACATACATGCCTATGTAATGTATACGTAATAACAATAATGTACATAAATCTTACCCCTATATAGCAATAATACACCAGTAGTAAAAATAATATGCAATGAATCTACTCTGACATAACCATATCATCCATACCAATAATACATTGCATACGCATGGAGAGTTAATTAAATTCCAGAGCAACAGCCAACAAAACCACATGCGTAGAAATTAATGGCGTAAACCAGCGAAGCAACCTTCAGAGTCCTAACAGCTAGTACCCACTTCTCTGACTATAAATAGCTGCGTTCGACCGAGTTTTTCTCCACACCAAAGCTTCCACACAAGCCATATATACACATACGTATATCTATTTATATACTACGAAACTTCCGTCACCGTATTACGGTAAGGAAGGAGCAGAAGTAGGCTGCGCACCCATAGTCTTTCAAGCCGGAAAAAAAAAGGGGGACCGCCGCCGCACCGAGCTCCGACGACCAACTCCTCGCCGGCAACGAAGAAGGGGGACTGCTGAGCCGCATCCGGTTGACCCAAGCTCCTGCCTTGCCGCTTTTCATCCATCATTCTTTTGTCGCCCATAGAGGTAAGCCTTAACTCTGCGTTCTTTCTTTCCCGGCTATTGCATGAACAAGACGATCAACATAGTTAAACAGACGGAATATCTCTTGTTAGGCCGGTTATAATTAAGACCGATGATAGTAATGATGATGATGATGATGCTATTAAATGAGTAAATAACTATAACTACATTCATTATTAGAATAACTAGGGACGTTCGATCTATTCATACTAGTTACTTGTTCACTTATCACCCTTTTATATAAAATTAGGATAAACTAAAATGGAAGTTTATATTAACCTGGAATTACTAAAAGACTAATTGATCACATAGTTTACAGATAGAATACGACTAAACTGCAATATTGAATCCAAACTGAGTTCGCTGCCTAATTTGGGTCGTCATGTGTGCATCCGATTAGTTAGGAATGAGTTAATTAACTTAAAGGAAAAGGATCAGATGACTCGGCTAATGGATTTGGACAAAAGTTAACGGATTACTTAGATTAGCTAATCAGATTACCTAAACGTGTAATACTCGATAACAAGGAATAAGTTAATCATTAATGAATTATATGGCCTGGTCATTTGTGATTACAAATCTATAATACGAAGTAAAAATAAACTGATTAACAAATTAACATAAACGAAGGATTTACCTAATAATGAACGAGACTAATAAAAGTAGGATGAGTAACAACAGATATCAAATTAGTTATTACTTACTCAATAATGAATAAGTAACTAATAATACTAAATCGAATTAAATTACTATTACTTAATCGATCTGAATTCCTACAAATGGATATTTAGGTAGAAGTTTGGATGAATTAGCAAAATTAAATAACAAGACTAAACGAGTACTTCAACAGATTTAAAAATAAACAAAGTAAGTATAACTGGACTAATTTATACCAATGATTGATTAACTTAGTAGACGTAAATGTGGTGTAAAACTATACCATATTATGAATGGTATAGTAGGAATCAGATAAGTTATTAAGAATAAAAATAAATGACTAATTATCATCTTAATTAAAAAGGTGATCATTTAAAGTCCGGAATACACAAAGAGAACTAGCAGCGTCACATTCCGAGGTAAGTCACATTGCAACCAAAATGCATTTTTACCTCGTATATATTGTATGTATGAGATATGAAATTTGTACTATTTGACTATTTGTTGAGCAATTTGTGAATATGTGATGCATTGTTGAATGTTAATAACTTTGGGGAAATTACGTGAGTAGTAATCCCTGAATTTTTGGAAAATAATAAAGATAAAATGAACCTTTCAATGAAAGGGCATCACGGGAGAAATCCGGGATGTCGGTGTCCTCCACGACCTTGACTGTGGAGAGTGATTAGGACTGCTATTACTTGTTGAGAATTGGTGTCCACGACCTTGACTGTGGAGATTGGTTAAAGTGGTTGTTTTATTGAAATTCAAATTCGGGCAAAAGACCCTGTTATTCAGTAGTAGCAGTAACCTAGTCACTTATATAGGGTAATCCCTTTTTGGTGGAGTAGGGGGACGTTGACGTCCGAACTACTTGGACTTTTTACTACTCGGAGGGCTTGGAATCCCTTTTCGAGGGTGTGCACACTTAAGGTAGAGGTTCAGTTTCCTCAGGTTAGAAGTGGTACCGGCAAAAGTCCCGGGGTGGTCGTACATAACAACGGACCATCGGGCTCAATTTAATGTTGAGCACCGCCCTTCAAATGTATTAGGAGGTTGATACAACTATATTTTAAAACATTACTAAAAGAAAATATTTTATTTAATGAAAGTGAGGATCATCCATTTTTGAAAGAGGTATACCATGAACTTTATCTCTTAAACTACTTTTTTTTGTATATATGGTATACAAATTATTATTTTCACCAAACCTATTATTTTACGGGGTTGGGTGGGACTTACTTAGTTCTAAAGCTAATTTTTGTGTTATTTGTTTCTTTTCTTTCTCTATAATTACAGATGATATTGCTTTGGATGATGTGCTTGGTTAGAGACTTGAGAGCGTCCATTAGAAGATACTCTAGCAAGACTTTTATTTAAATTTAAGAACATCACTCTGGATCACTTTTGTTATTTTTTTACGTCGCACGTGTTATTAAGTACATTGGTTTTATTTGCCTGTGCACTTAGCCATGTTTTGCTAAGTGTGGCGGTAACACTCTAAATTTTCATTGTTAAAGACTTCCGCTGAAATTGTCTTAATAAAGTTATCATTTTATTATAAAATTTCCAAGCTATTTGTGTGGGAAAATTTGGGGTGTTACACGATTACTCGTGACGACTTACTACTCGGAGGGCTTGGAATCCCTTTTAGGGGGTGTGCACACTTAAGGTAGTCGTTTCGTTTCCGCAAGAGCAGTTGTGGTACCGACACTTGTTCGGGGTGGCCGTCCGTAACCACGGTCCACCGGGCTCAGTCGAAAGGTTGAGCACCGCCCTTCTAAATTACTAGGAAGTTAGAGAAGAAGATTTTATTTTGAGAAGTTCAAAGAGAAGAGTTACTATAATACGGAGTATTTTTGAAGAAAAGTTGTGGATTTTAGTAAAGAAGTGATTTTGAGAAAAATCAAAGAGAAAAGAATTTTGGTGGAATGTGTCATTTTTATATAGTATTATATGAGAAACTATTTTTAGTCAAACCTGATTATTTTACGGGGTTGGGTAGTACTTACTTAGCTCTAAAGCTAATTTTTGTTTCCTTTTCTGTGTTTTGTTTTCTGCACTTTATTTGTGCAGGTGATGATGTTTATGTGGACTGATGATTGTATGACCATGACAGCGGTTTAGAGATGCCTTAGTCAAACCTAGTCAAGAATTATAATTTAATTATGTTGAACACTTGTTTTATTCTGTTTTGTTTTGGGATTGCCTGTGCATTCAGTTAAGAGATGACCGGATGTGGCGGTAACACCCATTTCCCAATTAATGTTATTTCCGCTGCAGAACTTTTTACCTATTTTGAATGAATAAATAAAGTTTATTATCAACAATTCTATTATTTCAAGTATTATTTTGGGAGGGAAAATGGGGGTGTTACAACGGAGTAGTAATTAAATGAAGCATTATAATAGAAGAAGAGACAAATATATTATTACAAAATAGTTAAAGTTAGTACCTTAGAATTGTACCCAACGCTTCTTCAACGAGATAAATTCCTCAATCACGGCTTTTTAGTCAAAAGTTTTAGCAATTTCTCTTTCAATATAAACAATAAGGTTGTGTGCAACATACTCATCCTCCATTTTATTGCGAAGCCTTGTTTTTATAATTTTCATTGCGGAAAAAGTCCTTTCGGTTTGATGGAGTATATGGCCCAGGAACCCCCGGCCCAAAGACTCCCACTAATCTATCACAAGCCCAACAAGCTCAAGGAGCTCAGGAGGCCCAAGATTCGGCGGCCCAAGCGTCAAGAAGGCCACGGTACACACAGGGATGCCTTCGGCCACCTTGGCCGAAGGCTCCAGAACTCACAGAAC